CCCCCCTTTTTTTTTGTCACAAGCTTGGTTGGGGATTCATTTTCTTTTTTCCTTGATATGGGATTTCGATATGTATTTTAAAACTCCAAACTTCTTGAGTAAGTTGATGTTTATTTTACTGGGTTTTGGATTTTAATTTCCAGCTTTGTTGGGTTTTATTTTTCTGGGATTTGATTGATCTCTCAGAATTTCATGGAACAGTTTGAGTACCGAACAATGTAACTTTACCTGCCAAGAACTATGTATTAATGGTAGATTAGGTTGAACGGGATTGATAATTGTTTCCTTCAGACATGAGTATGCGTGTTTTTTGTTAGTTCTCTACATGATTTTGAGGTATGAGTTCTGAAGAATTAGAGAGCTACTGAAGTGGCTATTGTAATGCCCCGACCCGCAAGGACTGGAACGTCGCTAGATAAACTGTACTTTTAGCCGTAAACTTAAAAAAAAATAGCTAAACTTTTAGAGAAAAATTATAAAGAATTAGTTTAAGAATAATTTTTTTTTAAAAGAACAATAAATGACAACATAACTCAATACAAAAGAAACAAATTCCTAATGTCTTCAGGTGACATCCATGCATAAATACTTTTTTGTTACGTGAAATTCTAGGCAAGAATTTATAAATAAATGTTGTTGTTTTTTTTGCGCAGTAAGTTTTAAAGTAAACTCGTTTACATAGTAATCTAGGTCGAAACTTCACGAAACTTTAATAGAAAGTAGGGAACTTCTCATAATATAACATATTCAAAATTCAGCTTTCATCAGCGACATATGAAATGTTAAAATATTTTTCAAAACCTCACAGCGACTAGATTTGGGAAGTAACCCAGCACAACATACTTAAGGTGGCATATAAAATTCCATAGATATTGCATTGACATGATTTTGAGTTTATTCAGATCCCACTGGTTTTGTCCAAAAATCCCAAGTAACGATTAAGTCACGAATTTTTAAGTTCAATGGAAGAAACTGGAATTTTCAAAAAAACAGCAACACTATGTGTACTTAAAGTGACTTATAAAATTTTACCGACATCGGATTGACATGATTCTAAGCTTATTCAGTAGCTAACTTATGAGGCTATCAAACACCATTTATTTGTTCAAAAATTTGAAGTAACAAATTAGTTATGAATTTTTAAAATCTGAGAAGAAACTAAAATTTCAAAGAAAATAGTAACATTAACTAGTTGACATTTTTTTTGTCAACGGTGTTTCGTAAGTAAATTCTAGATCACATATATATATTTTTAAACATAACCTATTCATAAGAAAATGTTAGTAAAAATAGTTTCATATACGAAGTTCATAGAAAAGTAATTAATAGGAAACACAAATATTTCATAATCAATTTAAAGTTGTTAATTCACCGATTTTTTTATGTCAAATTGCATCTTCAACCACCATCATCCGTATGCCCAACAAAAGAACAAAATCATCCTGTAAGAAGTGATTTAACCCATGAGTTTGAAACTCAATAGATATCATTGGTGCATTTCATAATCAAATTAGAAAATTCGAACCATGGATTCATACCGTCGCACGTAGATGGATTTCCGACAAAATCCGATATCTGTAGCATTATCATAACACGTAGAGCCGAAAAATGATCATTCAAATTATAGTAGTGCCGAAGCACCGTACGCAGAGGTACCATTTCATTCAACTTTTAACCAAAAATCAAATTTTCAAATGAAATAACACGAGCACCTCAACCTACCTTGAATTTTCTTGGATATCAAAGAACAAATGTGTAGAAAGCCTTTCTTCTTCTCACCTTGTTATTCCCTTAGCTTAAATTGAATAAAATATATTTTTTTGAGAGAAAATAAGATGAAATTCGGATTTAACGAAGGATGTAGTGAAAATGTGACCTTCCACTTCTTATAAACTTTCTTTTTAATGAAAAACTAAATGGGGGGAGTTGTATTATTACAAGTTTGTTAAATTAGATCTTTAACTAAGAATTTAAAGAGTTTTCAAGCCTAAAAAAAAGTTTTATAAAAACATCTACATGGTGATTCGAACATGGGTTGCCTATATGAAATACCATGTAGATGACCATTGGGGCAACCCAGTTATTCATTAAATTTTTGTAATCAAATTTATTTAAACTTAATCTCTTAAATTGTTGGGCTTTTAATTAATTTATAGCTTGGGCTTTCAAATCTTAAATGGTTTGAGCTTCCACAACTCGTTTCTTGAATGAGATGCGCTCGTGGTACTAGATCATCACAACATAATAGTCTAATTTCATTTTATTTTCGGGCTTCTACAGCTATAAAGGGGAAATGTAATTTTTTGTTGGTGAATCTGGATGGTAAGCAGCAACTCTTGATGGGTCAGGGAAAAGTTTTAATCTTGGAGGAATCTTTAATGTGTAAACTTGAATTGGTGGTTTCAATGGGCATTATGGTATTTGTATTAATTGTCAGTGCTTTTTGTAAAGTGTTTTGAACTTGTATGGATCTTCAAGTTCTTGGATGATTTTTGAGGATTTCGTGTACGTGTCTAACTCCTAAGGGCAGTAGAGTGGATGATTTGAGTCCAGAACAGCCAACTTAGCCTTATCGATGGGGGCCGAAGTTGAGATTTTCATGAAAGAATGGTAGTGAACCACAACCTCCTAATGATTGTCTGCTCAAACAACTGATCCTACACAAGACAGCCAAAAGAAGGAAAAGATATAGTGCAATTGTTATCGACGGCTTGACCATCAGATATAAAATTAGTTGATAAACTAGGAGAGACTAAAAAAAAATGAGGCAAATCTAGTTATACATCACTCATGAACAAGATAGGAAGAGTGTTATCATCGGCAATGTATATACAGTGAGATCCAGTATATGGTCTGAAGTTATTAAGTAACAAAGGATCATAAATCATATGGTTAGAGGCACATGAGTCTAACAAAAAAGAAAAAGGAGAAGTGGATGCATTACCTAATATACCTAAGGCAGATAAAGCAGAAATAACCATTTGTTGGATCATCTCAAAAGTGATAGAGTTTTAGGAAGAACTAGAAAAATGTTGGAACTTGAGTGGAAGCAGTTGGCAGAGCAGAACTGGAGGCTAAAGTGGCTACACCAGCAGCATAAATTGCTTAGTTTAGCCCTAATGGTTGAAGCAATCAAAAACAGGAGAATCTCTACTTGTTGAAGTGTGAACTTGTGATGGTACCAAACTCAGAGAGGGGTAAGGGTTCAAAGTTCAACAGGCCCCGAAAAAAATGAGTGAAAAGAATAAGTTTGGGGATGTATATCTCTCGAGTGAAGAAAGGAAATACTTGACCACTATGGGATGGGAGTTGAATCAATCATGAGTTTACATGTTTTCATAAGTTTACACTACACACACGTCGAGTTATGCATGTAATAGGTAGAGTTTGATTTGATTTTGCACTGTTGAAGTTGTTCATTGTGTTGAATACTAAATTCCAATCTTGAGACACGGTAGGTTGTCAAACCATGTTTTGTGAGTTAAGCCACAACTTGTGACAATAGATATTTGTTTACATAACATGTGCAAGTGGCTGAATTTATTTTGCAACAATAGATATTGATTACATAATACTTTCAAATATGATAATATTCAAGCTCTTGCATTGCATTAGAGTTGTTACTTTGGTACACATTTATTTGAAAATGTAACTTCATTAAAAATAACTCATGACTCATTAAAAATAATGCTTCAATGTACAATAATTCAATAAAAATAATTCCAAAATACATTAAAATTTTCATATTATTGTCAACAAAATAAATATAGACCAAGGTATTATTTATAGACTTAATTACCTCCAAAATAAAAGTAAATACAAATATACTGCTATTAATTTCAAGGTCGAACTACTTAGAGTGGTTCATCAAACCAGAAAAAAAAAGTAGGACTAGAATGATTGAAGAAATAACATTGCACTAGAAAGACGGAGGTCTTTACATATGTTATTATGGCAGGTTTGACGAAGTAGCCCTTCTTTAAATGTTGCAAATCAATCATAAAGTTAGGTCAATATCCTTATAAGCTAATTCACAAACTTGCCATAGGCTATGATTAAGGAATTTCACTTAACGGTATTCAACAACACACATGATGGTGGCACCTTCATCCTTGGCTATTGAGATGAACTTCTTTACTCTCTCGTAAGGTAAAAATTCGAAATTTGAGTAATGAGTAATATAATTTCTGATATCTCTTTTCCATTAAGTAATAAATGAGAGAGAAAATAATTAAATCCATTTTGAATAAAAAGTAATATAATTTCTAATATCTTCATCCAATAAAGAATAAACGAGAGAGCAAGAATTCATATTTTCTTAGTTTGTACGCTCAAACTATTACAAAAGAACTGATAACATAATGCATTAAACAGTTTCTATCCACAGAAGTTTCTTATTATTTGTAAGATTCAGCCGTAGCATTCAACAGAACTTTTGCCGCTAATGATGTAAATCTTTCGGCCCTTTTATCTTGTTTGAGTTTGAGAAAATAAAGCAAAACACAAGCTTTCTTACCAGTCCATTGCTTACCCCAGGACCAAGCGTGTAACCTTCCTCTAACCCATGAGTCCATCTCCATTACTTCACCCCGGTTGACACATGCAACATTGTTATGAAACAAATGTCCAAATTTAATCTTTTTTAGGTTAAAAATAAGAATGCCCACTTCATTTTCTATTACACACATTCCTCAGAAATTGAGTGCTAGTGTCATTTGAATATATATGTTAATATAGTGTAGTTCAATACCAGATCGGATAATGATCAATCCACTTGAACTTGCATTGTTGAAACAACCCAAATGAGATTATTTCTCTTCATTCCATTAGTGGCTCCAAATCCATCACCAAGAAGCCAGACATCCATAAATGACTTAATTTTGTTTCCTGCACATTTTTTACAAATAAAATGCCTTAAAACTTCTGCATGGAATATGAAAAAGAATTCCTGAAAATTCGAAAACCGGAAATTCATCACCTGAATAGAGCAGAGGAAAACAAATTTTCAAAAATCAAATTATCAAATAACGAATAAGTATGGTAAAAAATTAGTATTACTTAATGTAGTGAGAGATGGCTATTTACAAAGAATTAAACCACCATCTGCTTCTCTTTCAATTCACATAATATTTGTACTCCTGCTCAAAAATGAAACGCATGAATACAAATTTTCTTAATCTAATCAAAATAATCATCATTAAGGAGCTTGTATCCTTCTAAGAACCACCCAGCGAAAAAATAAAAAGAGAAGGAAAAGCAAAGATGGCATCAATGAATTTGATAGAACAAATAGGAGATACAAAGTTCAAATTAGAAGTTACACAGATCAGCAATTAAGCACACTCCTGTGCATATGCACAAAACCAGAGCTTAAATTAGGGAAGTAAATTACCTTCACACAAACTGATCTCATCCCACATTTCCTGTGCTTATGCTCTAGTTCATCATTTCAACAAGTAAAATATAATGAATTAATTGTGCAATTTGTTTAACACGGCAAATCAAAGAAATTCCCTTACACTTGTACCTCCTATGCCCCTGTCATTATTAAATCTCCATTGTTGTGCAGGCCGAAAATAATTACATCTGGAAAAAGAGTAAGAAAAAAATAAAATCCCTAGGTTCTACTCATAATTAAAAACTATTTCTTCAAAATTCTCCTAGAAACCCCGAAGTTGATGCTACTTTTAATCAAAAATCATTTACATTTATATTCAATACGTCACAAAAAAAGTTAAAAAAATCACAACCTGACAAACGGTAAAGAAACTTAATATACTATTTGAACACTCACACAAGCGCATAAATAGGGAAACACCTGTTGGAGGGTTATGACATTAACGAGAATTTGAGTGATGAATTTCCCGGAGCCGTGTTTTTGGTTGGGCTTCTTTCTTGATGGCAAGCATCTTAGCCACGATTTCCTCAACCATAGACTTACTCTCTCACAACATGTCATAGAACACTGCCGCCATGTCCATCTTGTGCCCAAGCAGTATTTTGCCGGGTTCTACCATCATCACTTCCACTTCACATGCGATTTGTGTTGTTTATCTTTCTCTAGTGTTTGTGGTAGAAGAAAAAATTTCTAGGTCAAAAAAGCAGAGAAGAGATGGACAAAAGTGAATGAATTAATAAACAACAGTTCGGGCCTAGTACTAATGGGCCAAGTAAACAGTAATCAAATGTAGTTCATCTATAATGCAAACCACTTTCAGTGTGTAAACAACAACACAAATGAATAGTGAAAAGGGGATTACTTTTTGAGAAAATTACCGGGAAACATGGGTTTAAGATTACATTATCATAAATCAGGTTTTTACAAATTTTATTCAAAAATCAGGTGTTAATTATATTTTTATTTATATAAAAATATATTTTAATGATGGTTTAGCAATTTACTCGGTGGAAACCCACCTAGCCTAATGGATATTAAGCACAATATCATCTCAATTTCTGTCTATATCTTTCTCTCTCTATATCTAACAGCCTTGTTTCGAATACTCTTCCAACCCTTTCCACTCATCCCTTGGGCACTAACAAGTCATGAGTGCCATTGCTCCTACAAGATCCAACGGTATATCTAGTCGAAGTGGAGGCGATTCATCATCTACTTCTTCCCTTCCAGATTCACCATTGGGAGTGCTCACAGTCTGGATTAAGAAATCAGTTGGCTTATCATTGATTTTTTTTTTTCGGATTGCAACAAAATTGGTAGATTGAATTACTATTTGACTGTGTCTTTTTACATAATAATGAACTTGAATTTATAATCCCTAATTTCCTTTAAAGTTTGAGGAGAAGCATGTGAAGAATGGTTCAGACAAACTCTCACACTGCACTGCAAAATGAAGTAACAAGATGTCATTACTGTTGCTGGTGCAATGGCTACAATTGTAAATGGAATGAATTTTAGTGATTTGGCAGGCATGAATTGGGGGCGGGCTTGAATTGTGAGAGATGATGGGAATTCTCTACGAATAAATTTGAGTGAATTAATTATACGGTGATCAACATAAAATTGACTGTATTTAGTTTAGAAATTACATTTTACTCGATTTTTATGGCTATTATTATTTTTTATTATTTTGGGCAGAATAAAATTGGTATAACTTTAAATGATATCAATGTTCTTTGGCGGTGACGGTGGTAGTGGGATGGTATGGGTGGTTTGAAGAGAGACTGTAACCAACTATTGAGTAATTTTGGACCAATAAAATGAATAAATTGTGACCAATAAATATTGTAACCTAAAAACATGTAATTTATAACTACATTTGTATTTGTGACCTGCAATTTGTTTCTTCGTAACTGGTAAAAAGTTGTGATATATAAAATTTGTGATTAAAAAATAAGTCGTGATCAATTAATTCGATAAATCATAGTCAAGAAATAAATTTAACCGATTAATTTTATATTTTGTGATTGTGAGATAAATTGTGATCTATGAAATTTGTGATTTGTGACCAATTAATTTGTGACTTGTAAATATGTTATAGCCTAAAATAGGTCTCTGAGTAATATAAATTGCAATCAAAGAACTATTGGTCGTAGTCAGATAACATATAATGATGAACGTATTACAAGTCACGAACATTCACGATGAAAAAAATACTTTGTCATAGATAATTAAAAATAACAAAAACTTGATTACAGAGAGTCATTGTAATTACATAGAAGGTCACAAGTAGTTGCAATTAACAAAAAAATTGGTCACAGAAAAGTCATTGTCCATATTTCATATCACAAAACAATGTTAACACAAGCATAGTTACATACAGTCATTGTCAAGAAGACGCTAGTCACATATAGTCAAAGTTAAGATAGATCATATCATAAATAGCTATATATAAGAAAGATCAAGTCACGGACAATCACATTTAAGAAATACTAGGTCACATACAATCAAAGTTAAGATAAACCCGGTCACAGGCAGCACATTTAAAAAATACCTGGTCACATACAATCAAAGTTAAGATAAACCTGATCACAGACAGTCACACTGAAAACAACATTCATCACAAGCAATAATAGTTTACACATATCTAGTCACAAACATAATAACTTACACAAACTTGATTACAAACAATAACAAATTACACATTCCTAGTTACAAATATCAAATGTTATAAGATACCTAATCATATAAAAATCAAATTTAAGACATAATAATCACATAATTATTTATTACGATAAACATGATCATATTTATTAATTACAAATTATACAATTAATCAATCATGTTCACTAATTTTCCTTGTCAAAAATCATACTATTTCTATTAGTCATACATCACACAATTCCCTTCCATTTTAAGTTTAGAGTATCACTTGCTAATCCTTTACCATAAGATAGAAATTTGAGGATTTACTTATTTATTATTGAAAGTTATTGACCAAATGTTTTATAGAATAGAAAATGAGGGGCTTCCTTGGCAAAATTGGAGTTAGTGCTCTAATATGCAGCATCCACTTAGAACCATTTCCTCCATTTGGTACAGGCTCAGAATGGGTAGCAGAGAATAGAGAACAAAAATGGGAATGGAAGAAAAAAAAGAGAGAGAAAGGAGTGACTACACAGTTCATGTGCTCCATTGCTAAAACCAACAACCCGATAAAATGCTAATTACAACGTCACCGTAGCTTCACCGTTTGGCTCATTTTCAATTCCCACAGCAATTTCACAAATTATCTCCCAAATTAGTTTCAATCTGTTGCTCCTTGTCCGCATCATCTCTCATTATACCCCAAATTCACCTTAAAAAGTAGAGGTTTGCGGTGGTGGAGTCATTGGATTTGCATCGCTTACTTCTTATCCAAAAAAGGCACGGTCATCACACTTACCGAAAAATCCCTTCGGCAAGGTTGACAGTCACAATTTGTCTCTCTCACTCTATAGCTAAAGAAAGAAAAAGGGTATATGGGAAAACGAAAGAAATTAAAACCCTAGATTTTGAGCAATGACAATGGCAAAACGATTAAGATTTGGTCTTCCGTTCTTCCATTCAGTCCTCACCTTCAACACTATCTCCACCGTTGCCGCCCAAAGATCCACAGCACTGAAATCGCTCCTCTAACCTCTCATCAACACGGAATTATGGTTGATGGGAGTGGGTATGGTGGATTGGGACATTTGTAAAGAGAGGGAATTCGTGAAGTGGGAGAATTTGGTGGAATTGGTTTTCCTAAATTTTACACATAATAATATGTTATAAATATATGTAATATATTATTGTAATTTATTACCTGATTTTTGAAATATTTTTGAAAGTTTGTTAAATGGGAAACCATATACTTAAATATTGTAGTTATGTATTTTTCCCTTAATTTTTTTTCAAATTTTTTAAGTAGGGAAAGTGGGCTGTGGTATATTTTTTTTATTTTTTTTTTATTTTTATGCTACAACCTTAACCTGACCTATAGAAGAAGCAAATAACAGTATTTTTAATAAAATTCATGTTGGATTTTTTAATACCCAATAAATCCCTGGTTATGATGTTAACGTGGGTTAATATTATTTCATAAGCATAGGCCAATGAATGAAATAAGTCCAACAACCAAGTTCATAAACTACACCCGGCCCAATTATATTCCCTCTTGGATGGCTTGAATCTTGACCCGTTTACCTCTTTAAAGGTCCAACTTAAAGCCTAACCCTAGAGTATATATATGGCTATAACACTAGCCACTTTCTAGTGATGTTTTGTTTGAGAAAAAGTGGAATCCCGGCTGCCCCCCTTTGTGTGTGAAAAATTGCCTCTAGAAGTGTCCAAAACGCTTATTTAAAGTGTGCAATTGGTGGTCCCTTCATAGTATACTTTTGTGGTGTCTTCTCCTAGCCTTTGTGGCTGCAAATCATCATCTTTTCTTATTCTACAAGGGTGAGATTGAATAACAATCGAAGTGAATTAGATTGGTTGCAGTTTGGAGCCAATTGGACAGGTTGTTGGTGGAGAAATGTACGTTGGATTAAGCCCGAAAATCACCGATTTGAAGATCTTTCAAGAGAGCTTCAGCAACAATTCATATAACATATATTAAACATATTGTTATATGTAAATAATAAAAACAACATAATTTTCCTCTTGGTCAGAAATAATAAAAACTAAAAAAAAAAAATTATATTGCATATTAAAATGCTGCCCTTAGGTAGATGAAAAAATAAGTACTCCATTACAAGAAATAAAAGTTTGTCGCCATAGTTTCCTGCCGAAGAATATTTTAGTGTCTTACTTTGATCATATTTTTCAGAGACAATCTTTTTAATTTGTCTCACATTTTTAAATATCACAACAATTTTTATGACACCTTATGTTTTGGGTAATGATTTTTTCCACCATATTGTTTGAAAAAAATTAAACATAACAGTCATTGACCATTGCAAAAAGTATTTAAGACAACAAGCCAAAAAGTTGCAAAATACAATAAAAGCAAGGAACTAAGAACATTGCAAAAATTTAACAACAACACATATTTAATGCCTTTTGCAAAGTGCAACCGTCATTGCCTTATCCTTCTATTCAATGACAACATTAGAGCCACCAAGATACCGATGAACATTGCGAAAGACATACGGTAACGTTTTTTATCTGTTGTAAAAATAGTTTTTTTGTAGCGATTTTTTCCTCAATGTATAGATTTTTTAGCAACAAATATTCCTTGTCGCAAAAAAATATACCCTTTTGCATCACAAACACTTTGTTGCAAGAAATAAAAAGTTTGTCGCCATAAGTTTCCCACCAAAAAATATTTTGACGCCTTACTTCTCTAATGTTTTTTATGACAATGTTTATTATTTGTCACGCTTTCTTATATTTCACGACAACTTTGCATGTCGCCTTATATTTTTTGGCACTTATAATTCTCGTAACAATCTTTGCGACAAACTTTAAAAATGTGTTGCGCTAAATCACTTATTGCAACAACTTTTCGTATATCGCAAAATATACAGTAATCAAATGTAGTTCATCTATAATGCAAACCACTTATTGCAACAAATTTTTAATAGACAACAGTTTGGGCCTAGTTCTAATGGGCCAAGTTAACAGTAATCAAATACCGTTCATCTATAATGTAAACCACTTTCTGTGTGAAAACAATAACACAA